GGAGGAAGCCTTCCAGTGCATCGTCTACTTCTGGCAGGGCCGGGAGGCCTCCAACATGGGCTGGCTCACCTTCACCTTCAGCCTCCAGAAGAAGTTTGAGAGTCTTTTCCCCGGCAAGCTAGAGGTGACCCCACTGCGTGCTCCTTGGGGGGTGACACAGGGGTCCCCTTGCCTCACTTCCCCCCCACCCCTTCTCTGCCCCCCAGGCTAAGGGCAGAGGATAGCAGCAGAGATGGGGGTTGGCAGGGGGGCTTGGGGTTGTGTTGGCAGGGGGGTGTCCCCGTGGCCCCGCTGACACCCACCCCTGGCCAGGTCGTGCGCATGACCCAGCAGCAGGAGAACCCCAAGTTCCTCTCGCACTTCAAGAGGAGGTTTGTCATCCACCGGGGCAAGCGGAAGGACAGGGCCAGCCCACCCCAGCCCACCCAGCCTCTACCGCAGCCGCACCAACGGCGGGGCCCTCTGCACCAGGTCAGCCCTCCTGTGGGCTGCTCCAGGCCAGGCAGCACCCATGGGTGCCAGGCTCCTGGCAGGGTACGTGCCAGTGGGCACAGCCACCAAATTTCTTGCTGACTGTGCCTCTTGGGCTTCTTTCCTAGGTGCATCCAGATCAACACAGACGCTGGTCTGCTCAACTCAGAGTTTTGCTTCATCCTCAAGGTACTGCTAGTGGCTGAGCATCCTTGGGGGTGCTCGACACCTGCTCCCCCTCCTTTTGCTCGCCACTTGCCCTCCTCCCTGCTTGGGCAGCCCTGACTCTCTACACTCCCCCAGGTGCCCTTTGAGAGCACGGACAACCAGGGCATCGTCTACACCTGGGTGGGCCGGGCAGCTGACCCCGATGAGGCCAAGCTGGCCGAGGACATTATGAACCACATGTTTGATGATTCCTACAGCAAGCAGGTGAGGGGGGGGCGGGCGGAGCACAGCGGGGCTTGGCACCAGCTTACCTGGGTGGCAGTGACCACCAGGACAGGGGACAGTCATGCTCAGCCCTGTCCCTGCCCTCACAGGTGATCAACGAGGGAGAAGAGCCCGAAAACTTCTTCTGGGTGGGCATCGGGAGCCAGAAGCCCTACGATGAAGATGCCGACTATATGAAGCACTCCCGGCTCTTTAGGTGGGTCCTGGCCCAGGAGGGGCTGTTCCAGCAGTGCCCCGGGCCATGCTGGCCCAATCCTCCCAGGCTAGCCGGGGCACAGCTCCCCATGACAGACAAAGCCCCTCTCCCAACTCTGTCCACCCACCAGGTGAAACAGAGCTGCTCCATCACATCCCTTCAGTTTGCGCAAACTGAGTCCTAACAAACTCACGTCTTTGATGTGGTCCCCTTCTGGCTCTCCCCACAGGTGCTCCAACGAGAAGGGCTATTTCTCAGTGTCAGAGAAGTGCTCCGATTTCTGCCAGGATGACCTGGCTGATGATGACATCATGCTGCTGGACAACGGGCGAGAGGTGAGCCGAGGGCTGTGAGGTTGATCCTGTGTCCGGGGGCAGCATGGCAGGGGCCGGATCTGCCAGTGGCACCACAGGCTGAGCCTGGCTGCACATCCTTCCCACAGGTCTACATGTGGGTGGGCACCCAGACCAGCCAGGTGGAGATCAAGCTGAGCCTCAAGGCATGCCAGGTAGGGCCTCCTCCTGCTTGCTGCTGGGGGGAAGATTTGGGCTTCATCTCCCCGCCCAGGGCCTTCCCTGATCCTGCCCCCTGCATGGAGGTGCAGAGCTCCAGCAGCCCCCGAGCTGGGGAATGCCAGCTCTGGGGGTGGGCGAGGGCTGGGGACCCCCACAGCTGTGCTCTGCCCCAGGTCTACATCCAGCATATGCGCTCCAAGGACCCCACGCGTCCCCGCAAGCTCCGGCTGGTACGGAAAGGCAACGAGCCCTGGCCCTTCACCCGCTGCTTCCACGCATGGAGCGTCTTCCGCAAGCCACCCGCCTAAGGGCCAGGGGCACCCAGCACTCTGGTTACAGCCCCCCCGTGGCACAGACGGACCCCCCCCGCTGCCACCCACGCCTGCTCCCAGGCAAGCTCAACCCTTGGAGCCGCTTCTCCCTGAGCTGGGGCCAGCAGGGAGCACTGGGGCTCACGCTCTGTCCCCCCTTCCCCCAGCACAGGGCCCAGCTCAGCCCCTTTCCCTCCTGGGGGGCAGACAGGGCAGCATGGGCCCATTATACCCTGTTTGGGGATGCTGCTGCCCCAAACCAGTGCCAAGCTCCCCCTGCAACTGGGGGACAGGAATGTTGCCCAGTTTGGGTGGGAGGATGCTTTGCTGAAGAGCACTGGGGTGTGGAGGGGGAATGTAGGGCGCTCAGCCTTGGGCCTTACAGCTGGCCCCAGGGTCCTGGGGGCAGGGATGGACCCCCGGCAGGGGCCAGCCCATCGGTATCATATCAATAAAGGCTGCACTTCTCACCCCAAGGCCGTGCCAGGCTCTGACTGTGCCGATCTCGCTCCCAAGCAGGGTCCCCCCCACAGTTCAGGGCACTCCAGCACCCACCCAGCTCCAAGCTGACCACCAAGGCTCCCCAAACACCTGCAGCCTGGGCAGTTGATATTAAATGCTTTATTTTCAATATTAAAAACCAGTATTTTTAATAACTAAACAATGCTAAATTCATCTTACCAAAAAAAAGGATGAGGTGGGGGG